CCTGCTTCCTTGTACACTCATTTTACAGCCACTCTCTCCCCACTGAGACATGGAGCATCTGCTGCCCAGCACTGAGGACGTGTGTGTTGCTGGGACAAGCACACTGTTCCACCTTGGGGTGCTCAGTGCCCCCCCAGAACTGCCCCAACTGCTATTCTCTGCACCCATGCACGCACCCCCATTTGCAGCAGGCAGTACCACGCGGACCCACTGAGCCCTCCCTGCAGCAAAGCAGGGGCTGAGGCTCAGTATGGGGCACTCACACATGCAGATGGGACGGGGGACAGAGTGGGTAGACCCCCAGCTCTGAGTGGGGTTTCCACAAGGGCTACCCTGCAGGTTGAGTATCCCACGGGATGAGTCAAACGCTGGGGAATCTGCACAGAGAAATTCCCTAAAGGAACCGGAGGGCGCCCACCACTGGGGCTTTCCCCCTCGGCTGTCCCGTCCCTCCTCCCAGCGGGGGAAGTTACTGGGGGAGCCGGCAGCATCCTCTTCCACGAGTGTTGGCTTTTTTTTCCATAAGAGGGGCAGCCAACCCCTCCCCAATCCCAAAATGCGGTGCACTGGGTCTGCACCTATTGGCATGCACTTGAAGTCAGGAGGAGACGGAACAGGGACTAGCAGACCCCATCCCGATCCCAGTCCCCCCACTGCTCCCCGACGCTCTGTGCCCATTGCTTTTCCCCATATCCACTGTTTCCAGCTCTGCTGAGGCATTTCCCCAGCCCCACTCCTGCTCCGAGTGTTGGGGGCACATCCAAGCCCCTCTCCAACTTACTTGCCCAGTTCCTCAAAGAGCTGGTACTCCTCGGTGAAGCGGTTGCAGGTGATGGTAGCCATCCCAAGGGGCTGGCAATGCTCCCTCCCCGGTGCGGAGTTTGGGGCAAGCAGTTCTCCTCTCGCTCCCTCCCTCTCTGTGTGCTCCCGGGGCTCTCTCCTCGCCGAGGTAAATAAGGGAATATGTTTGATTGACAAGCCTGGAGATAATGATGAGGGCAATTTGTCTTCTCAGCCTCACAAGCCTTCGTCAGCATCCCCATCCCCATGGTGACCACCGCTGCCAGAAACGCCCTGTTTCTGTTGCCGGGGCAACCGCTTCCCAAACCCATCGCCCGCCCTGGGGACTGTGGCCCTGCTGGGGACCCGGCCCTGGGGGCTGCCTGGGGGGTCTCACAGCCACTATAGGGAGGGGGGCAACTCCCAAATGCAAATCTTAAAGGCAAATTGAAAGATGTGGCAGTGGCAGAATAACTGGGGCAAAAAGGTTTCCATGGAAACCGTGGTTTCTATGTTGCAGGAGGATGCTGTCGCCCTGGCAACTGGTCCATTTCTACCTCCCCCCACCCCCAAATGCAGGTCCTGCTGGTAGCCTGCACCAGAGTCCCTGGGGGGCTGCAGGGTGGGGGACGGGCTGCTGCAGAGTGGGGCGGGTGGCAGCAGATGGAGCAGAAGTGTGTCAGGCGAAGGCAGCAAAATGATGGCAGCTCCCCAGGTCCCTGTAAGCGCCCTGCCAGCAGCTGGGCTCTCGTTGGGGCTGGCCCCAGTCACTGGCACCTGGGGGTGGCTTGGCCTAAAATAAAGCCAGAAGGGGAGCAAAGAGGGAAAAAAGCAAAAAGTGCTGAAAAAACAGGTTTTTCAGTTAATTAAAAAATAACAAAAAAAAGAAAAAAGGAAAAAAAAACTTGAAAAGAGCACTAAAAGTGGTACTCAGAGGTCTCAAGGGAAAGGTTTCCCCCTAAACCCGCTTTGCTGCCAACACCCCACCTCCAGCAGGCATCATCTCTTGCACCCTATGGGATCCTGAGCCTCTTTTGTCCCATTTCTGGTGGTTTTTGCAGGAGGAAAAGGAGCCCTCAGCAGCAGGGACTCTCAGTGGAAGGCATTGCTTTGGGCAGATGAGGTTGGTTTAGTTCCCTTCCAGGCTGCCATGGAAGGGTTAATAGGAAAAGAAAAGGCTCTAACCAGACAAAAAATAGGGAGAAATCTTCGAGAGAAGAGAGAGAGAGAAGGAGGAGCAGAGAGAGGGAGAGAAGAAAGGAGGTGGAAGTGGAGGAGGACAGCAAGTGGCGGAGTGAGGAAGAGGAGGGGGAGGAGGAGAAAGGCCTAATGGCTTTTCAATTAATTGCACCATTACCTGCTTTCATCCCCACACCAAGCTGTAAGGGCAGGGGCCCAATTCCCACCCATGGGTGGGGTACAGGCATGGGGTCCCCAGCTGTAGTGGGAAGGGGACAACACTTGCCCCAATGCCTCTGTGCTGGTGTTGGTGCTGCTTCCTAAGTGGGAGTTTTTGTCTCTGAGCTGACTGACAGGTGCTGCATCCCCTTATCTGAAATCTCCTTTCCCACCCAGAAATCTGCTCCTTCACAGCTCTGGGATGTAGCCACCAGCAGTGCTTGTGTCTGGCCACCTGATGGAGACCTTCATCCCCTCCTCTCCATTACCCGCCTGCCTTTCCCGAAATACCTCCACGCACGTCCCTCAGCTCCATATGCAGATATTTCCTTTCTGCAGCCTGGCACGGGCTCTCCAGTTCCAGCTCAAGGAAGGATGCTCTGACTGAGGATTGCACACCAAGCCCTGAATGCATTAGATAGGCAGCTGTCCAAGGGGCTCAGGAGGACCCGATGTGTCCCAGAGGGGCTGCAGAATGGCAACCCCCCCAGCACAGGGCTTGTATGGACTGACAGAGCCTGCAGCCATGTCTCACAGACATGGTAAGCACGGCTGTGAGTTACATATTGCAGAGATCCCAAAATTACTGGGACAGTTTCACACACAAGCTGGGGTCTGGGGGATGCTCAGTTGCTGTCCTCCAGGAAGCTGAATTCTTGGTTATTTTTAGGTGAGGATTATAAATACCTGGGTAAGGCGAGCATTTTTACATTTAAGGTTGTGTTTGCAAATGGCAAACAGTCTGTGGGCCCCAGCACTTGTGCCAGCAGCAACACAGAAACTGCTTTTGGTGGGATGGGAGGGCCCAGTGCCACCTTTTCCCTAGTCCCAGGTTCTGGAGTGAGAGGCAGCCCCTTGTCTGTGCTTCTCCCTAGAATTAGGTGCCCAGGGTGCCCTGCTGTCGTCCCAGGTGGCAGTTTGCTGGGAAATGTCCATCCTCTTTCCTGCTGCTTGCTTGACCCATTGCATCTTCATCAGCAACTCCATAGCTGTCTCCTTTCCACCTTGACCCTCATCCCTATTCCATCCCATCTCTAATGCCATCTCTGTCCCATCACATCCCCTTTCCCATCCTCATCCCAGTTCCCATCTCCATCCTCATCTTTTTCCCACCTCCATTCCCATCCCATCTCCAATCCTAATCCCCATCTTCTTCTATTCATGTCTCTGTTCTACTCCATCCTATCCCATCCCATTTCCAACACCATCTCCATCCTGTCATCACCATCTTCACCCCCATTCCCAACCTCAAACCCATTTCCATCCCCCTCCCTATGCCAATTCTCAGCTGTATCCCATTCCATCCCCTGCCCATCCCTCCACAGGGCCGTATTTTGCCCTGTTTCCCAGCCCAGGGCTCACAGCACTCTCCCAGGAGTGGGACAGTGAGCTCTTGGCTTCCCTATGTAAACAGATCTCTGTGCTGCAGCATCACAGCAAGGTGAAGAGCTCTCCAAAGCCACTTCAGCAGCGTCTCGCCCATCAGCTCCATTAACCCTTTCCCACATGGAGCCCAAGAGCTCTCCCAGGGGGGATGAATGGTGTGAAAACACATGATTTTGGCACATCACTGCTTTTCTCTCCTTGGTCCAGAGCTGTACTGCTGGATCCAAACCAACTGGGACCATTCACGAGCAGTGGTGGGACAGGGGACAGGCTCTGCATTCCCCAACACCCAGAAACATCTCTGCCCACTCTTCCTCTTTTCAGGAACCAATGCTTTTATTTTTTTTTTTCATTTTTTTTTTCTTCCTTCTAGAATTCAGAACGCTTTATATTTATTTATTTAGTTAGTTTTAAAGAGAGAATTCAGACCCCAAACTCTGGCTAGACTGACTGTGCAAAACCAGCACTGGCCCCAAAGATCAGAGCTGGAGATGAGACAAGACGAGCATTTTCAATGAGATATTATTGAAACCGTTTGGAGAAATATCAAATGTGTTTTCATGGAAATTTCCATTTTTGAAAAAATAATTAAAAAAACGAAATAAAGGAAGGACTAAACTTGGACACGTTTATATAAATATGGAAATGAAAACTGTTCCACACGCCTTGCCAGCCCCACTCCTTCTGCCCACCCCGGAATCTCAGGTGAGTCTCAGCCCACATGCTGATGTGTAGATGTGGCACTAAGGGACAAGGCTTACTGGGCAATAAGGGTGACAGGGTTAGATGTGTTGATCTCATGCTAGAGGTGATGATCTCAGAAGTCTTCTTCAACCTTAATGATTGTGTGATTCTCAGCATCCTCCTCCTCCCTTAAATCTGGCAACCACCTGCCAAGAGGCTTGGCCAAATGGCAGCAAGAGAGCACCTTCCTGGATGAGCCAGGGATGGAGATGGGGCTTTAGGGATGGGGAGGAGCTGAGTGCCCTATGGGTCCTGTCCTGCATTACGTGCCCTTGGGCCAGCAGTGTGGTGATGGATGGATGGAGCAGCAGGGCCAGGTGCGCCAACAGCCAAGCCCCAGCATTGCGAACTCCTTCCCATCTCTCCAAGAAGAAGCCCTCCTGTAGGATGCCTTGCTGTCAGCTCTTTTTTTTTTTTTTCTTTGTTTCTACAGAAAATCCCAATTCCCCCAAATAATCCAGCTAAGAGTAAAAAAAAAAAAAAAAAAAAAAATACAAACGTGTCATTGCATTCTCTTCCCGTCCCCGTCCCTCTCACACACAGGGCTTGAAAGCGCATTGAAAGGTATTCAGTGTGCACGCTGCCAATTGTCACATCTTTCAATGACAGATTTTAAATGAATGTTATTTTGCAAAGGAAAAAGAGGGGGGGGGAAAAAAGGAAGGAAAAAAAAAAAAAAAAAAAAGCCCACACTGCTCATCCAAGAGCTGACAAGTCCTAACGGGCCTCATTTTCCAGAGACAAAAATAACTATTTTCAAAATTCACAGCAGGGCCTTCGCCTACACGCGCTGCACCAAGAGAAACCTGTGGGGAGAAATGTAAAACACATTGTGTAAATGGAAATGCACCGTGCATCCAAAATGCTTTTAAAGCTATTTACCCTCTTTCATCCGCGCCAGCTCCCATCAGAGCGCACGTCCGCGGGGAGCGCGGGGGCACAGCGCTGTGTCCATGTGAGGGGATGTGCTGGCACATCCTGCCCACCTGCAGGAAAGGGGAGGGTGAAGGGATGTCCGTCTCCATGACCCCGGGGCTCCATGTCCTGCAGTGATGGAGCAGATCTATGAGATCTTCCTGAGGTCTTTTGTCTGTCCTGGGCTTGGTCGTAGGATGCACAGAGAGGAACTTAGGGGTGCCTCCAGCCGTGCAGCCATGGGATCCAACCAGGCAGAGCTGGGGATGAACTATTGGGGACCTTTGAGACAAAGCTGCCTCCCATGCATCGGGCTGTCCAGAAGCGTTTGTCCTCTGCATGCATCAAGGCACTGCTTCCAACCACGTTCTTACAGGCACAGCTCCAGGGCTGCTCCTGGCCGCCCAAAGCCAGTGGAGAAGAGAAGCCATGGCCAAAGGTGAGGACCTCATCACACCAAGGCTGAGTCCACCTCCAGGAAGCCATCCTTCTATAGGGAAGTATAACGGGGAAATGCCATTGTCTTGGGTTTGGGGAAGCCCTCAAGTTCCTAGATCAGGAGCAAACCAAGCAGCTGCTCAGCAGCATGTAGCAAGTCAGCAACATGTATCTACAGAGAAACACCAAGGGAAAAATTGCAGCCAGACTGACTGAGGCTGGCCAGGCGCTCCGCACCCCCACCCTTGTGCTGCTGCCATGGCCAAAGCTCACAGCCTGCATGGTCCTCCAGAAGAATGTCTGGCTCTGAAGAGGCTGTGCACAGCCATGAGCCCACACTGCCTATCCCTGCTGGTCTGTCTGCCTTCTCTGTGGTCCGGCCAAGTGCAGAAGTGTTCGGGGTGAACCCCGTCCATCCCTCTCCCTCCATCCCACCCCATAGCACTGCCGTCTCTATCTCCACCCTGGCCAGGCTGTGTCGGCGCTGGGGACCCTCCGCTCAGATGCGGTTGGACATGAGCCTGGTGTTCAGCTTGCGGAAGAAGGAGCGCAGTTTGCAGATTTTACACTTCTTCTTCTTGCTCCGACTCTTGGGGGGTTCCCCACCACCACCTTCCCACTCCTCCACCTCATCCTCGCTGGCCCAAGGCCCCCAAGCACCTCCATTGAAGTCGGGGTGGGCACGAGGGTTCTCAGCAGGGTAGCGCACTGGGATGGCCGTCCGGTTGTAGTGCACTAGACGGGTCAGCAACGCTCGGACGATGTCGGGGCGCTGCTCCGAGAGGTCGTAGCGCTCGTAGGGGTCTGCAGTGATGTTGAAAAGCCACACGGATTTTCTCAAGCCGTCGGTCAGCCGCTCCAGGTTCCACCAGCTGCCCGGGAAGTTGGTCAGCGTCTGCGGGGGGATCCAGTCGCTGTAACCGGGGTCCCCGGTGAGGAGCTTCCACTCCCCGACGCGGATGGAGGCCTGCACGGCCGTGTTCCAGATACCGAAGCCATCCTCCAAGGAGCCGTACTTGGCGTGGTTGTAGAGGGGGTCAATGTTATGCAGGATTTCAGTTCGCGGTGACTCCTTCCCCTCGCTGATGGCAGGCCAGACGTTGTAACCATCCAGGCCTGGGACATTGCTCAGGTTGCCCCTGGCCAGACTCACCAGGGTGGGGTACCAGTCTGTGATGTGCACCAGTGCCCAGCTGGTCCGTCGCTTGCGCTTGATCAATGGACTGTGGACAAAACCGATGCCACGCACACCCCCTTCCCAGTACGTCCCTTTGCGGCCTCGCAGCGGCCAGTTGCTTCCCCCAGAGAACGTCTGCCCACCATTGTCCGTGGAGAAGACAATCACACTGTTGTCATAATAACCATACTTCTTGAGGGCCCAGGTGATGTTCTTCACTGCCTCATCCATGCACGTCACCATGGCCGCGTACTTGCGGCGAGCGACGTTGCCCATGGAGCGGTAGCGGTAGATGTACTCCTTGGGTGACTGCAGCGGAGTGTGCACTGCCTGGAAGGCCACGTAGATGAAGATGGGCTCCTTGGGGCTGTGGGATGCCAGGATCTTGCTGACACGCTGGGCATAGAGGAAGGTGGAGTATTTCCCACTCTGGTCCCATGCCACGTTCTCCCCTTCATGCAGGTCGTAGCCGCAGACGCCCGGCCCGTCGCAGTTGTCGTAGGTGTAGTAGTCCACGTTGCCTGTCAGGGAGCCCAGGAAGGTGTCGAAGCCCCTGCGGGTGGGCAGGCACTCCTTCTTGTAGAAGCCGAGGTGCCACTTGCCCACCATGTGCGTGGAGTAGCCGGCTTCCTGCAGCTTTTGGGGCAGGGTGACCTGGTCAAGGGGCAGGCAGTTGGGCTGCCGGGGGCGGATGATGGAGTGCTGCAGCCCTGTGTGGATCTGGTACCTGCAAGAAAGAGCCAATTCAGTGGTGATGAGAGTAATGCTGGGTGGGATATGGTGGCAGTTTGTGTTCTGGAGACCCCAGCAATGTGCAGCTCTCTGTGTCACCCAGCCGAATGCCATGGAGCAAGCTCTGTGCCAAATACAGGGAGCTCCTTATCATAGAATCACAGAAGGGTGCTGGCTCAGGAAGGAGGTGGCTCCATGTGCTCCTCGGCTTTTCTCCCTGGAGCCCTATGGTTGGAATAGTCCACAAAGATGTCCAACTGTCAACCCACCATCCCCACATGCCCACTGACCACGTCCCTCAGTGCCACATCTCCACGGTTCTCAAACACCTCCAGGGAAGGTGATCCCCCCACCTCCCTGGGCAGCTGTGACACTGCATCACTGTTCTTTCTGAGAAGAAATTTTTCCTAATAGCCAACCTGAACCATCTCTGGTGCAACTTGAGTCCTGAGTGCAGATGTATCCCCATCCTCTTCGTCCTCAGATGCCTGAGCTCCCTCTGGAGCCACCAGGAGAGAGAAGAGGGTTTTGTCTGGACCCCACTGAGCTCCATCACCCCAGGCAGTAGGTAACCACATCCATAGCCACCGCATCAACAAGGGATGCTGATTAATCTGCCTCCTATAGAAAGTGCTGGGAAATCATACCGGGGCAGGGAAATCATCCCAGTCTTATTCCAGGGAAATCCCCATCAATTCCCAGGAGGCTGAAGGGTGTGCCCAATAGGATGGAGAAGCCTCCCACCCACCCTGCCCTGCTCAGTGCAGACTGAGTGAGCAGCAGGAAAAGCACGGCCCAAGGGAGAGCTAGCAGTGCAGGGGAGCATCCTTCCACCAGACAGCCCAGCAGCCAATTCCCATGTGAGAAGAAACCAACCCAATGTCTGCAGTGTCATCCACATGGAGACACCTCACCCCACCACCAGAGGACCTCATGGGCAGGGACTGCCTTTTCTCAAAATGACTTTGGTTGCCCAACATTTTCACTGCTGGTGACCTGCCACGTGCTATTACAAAACCATGCAAAAATCAACTCTTTACCCAACAGGGCCAGGAAGGCTCTTTTCTCTAGAGGATTTCCAGCACAGAATCATAGAATAACCCAATCTGGAAGGGATCCATCAGGAGTCCAACTCCAGCAGTGATGAAGTACCTACCAACATATTGGAATACCTGCCTTGCGATGAGCGGGGCTTGAGCCTTGCAGAGCTATGGGAGAGGAGAGGTCCCATATAGGTATGAGCTATGGTGGCTTACCGGCCGGTGATCAGCTGGCTGCGGGACGGCGTGCAGATGGGCTGGATGTAGTAGTTCTCCAGCTTCACGCCCTCAGCTGCCAACCTGTCCAAGGTGGGCGTCTGGATGTCAGAGCCGTGGTACCCGACGTCGTGGTAGCCCTGGTCATCAGTCAGGATGAAGATGATGTGCGGCGGGCGGGTGAAGGAAGGAGGCAGCGATTTCTCCATGGGGCTCGTAGCCACATCAGCCACCAAGCCAGGCTTCATCCAGTCCCACGATAAATAGCCAAAGCTGAGCAGGCTGACCAGCGAGAAGCCGGTGAGGGCGTACACAGCCATCCCAGAGCGGTGCGCGCTGCCCACAGAGCGACCTACAGCCCCGGCATCACAGTGACACGTGGGGATGTCCCCTCCTCGGACAGCCCCCAGCTTAGGGGATGGCGGGTGGGAGTGGAGCGGGACGAGCTCCCATCGAGGCACGCTCACACGCACACAAAGAGCCCGGAGCGGCGGGGCTGGGTTGCGATCGGTCAAAAGAAAACAAGCATCGCGCCGCTCCAATCAAACCCACATGCACGGCTTTCCTTTCCTCACGCGGTGATTAGGAACAGCCCCAATGCAACTCGGAGTGCTACAAGCACTCTTTGGCTTCTCAACGCGTCTTTTTTTTTTTTTTTTTCTTTTCTTTTTTTTTTTTTTTTTTCCCTGTTATTTCTTTCCAAAGCAGCACAGAAAACCCACTCCGCAGTGAGCGGCCGCCTTCTCCTCCGCCCCAGCGCCGTGTTGGCTCAGGATGAGCCGATCCTTTTACTTACACTCCCGCAGAAGAGGGTGCTAAAGTTCAAGCCCAGCAGTGCCGCGCTCCCGTCCTCACCCGTTGGGGAACAGCCGCTGTGTCCTTTTCTCACCGTCCTCTCCCGAAGAATTTCTCGACCAGCCCACACCACCATGGCTTTTTATCCTCTTTTTTTTTTTTTTTTCCCTTCTTCTCTCTTTTCTCAAAGTCTTTCTCAGTCTGGAAACTCAGCGCTGTGGGTTGGGCAGGAGGGCTGCGCAGAGCCACGCGGGCGGTGAGGACACGGGGATGCAGCCTCCGATGGACACCGTGAGTCCACACAGCTGCCCGGACCGTGGGCGCAGCGTCCAGGTTTATGGGGAGCCGCAAGCTCGGCCCCTCCCCGCTCGCTCAGCGACTCCAGGAAAAAGCTGGGAAAACCCAAAGCATGCAGGGTCCTAAGCGGGGCTGCCCGCCTCTCCACAGCACGGCCCCTGCGGTGCGATGCTCAGCCCCGACCTGCAGCCCCACGGCACCCATCCAGCCCCATGCAGATAGGGCAAAGAAAGGAGAGCTGCAGAAACTTGTTGGGACGTCTCCAGTGTTGAAGCAGGCCGCTGCAGGGCGTGCTGACAATTATGTATATGTATGTATTATGGGATGGGGACTGCTGCACCCATTTTATAAGTGGGGAAACTGAGGTAGAAAGGGACTGTGACTGCCATGGTCACAGACAGCCCAGGGCAGGGTTTGGTGTAAAATAGGTGTTCATGCCCATACAAAAGTGCTGATCTAGGCGTAGGGTACTGGGACAAGGGGCCACATTGTTTTGCCTCAGTGCTTTAGGGGAGTTTTGGGAGAGCTGAGAGAGATACTCTTGTGTAACTCCTTTTGCAGGGTCTGCATCCATGAGGGATCAGGACAGCACTGAGCATGGCACACACCTCTCTCCTTGACTTTCCTTAGGGCAGGACTTGGCACAGGACAGGGGGTTTGGAAGCGCACACCGATCACAGAACACAGGAGATCCAGGTGAGCATTTTGGCACCATTATGACCCTTGTGTGGGTGGGAACAGAGGACTCCCAACACATAGTGCAACCCAGCATGTTCCCCCCCAGCCTGTGCACACCCCATGTCTGCCTTCAGGACTGCAGGGCTGCAATGGCAAGGGCTCAGCGTGGGCTTTGGGATGGCTCTGCAGAGCATTAGCTCCCAGGAGCAGCTGAGCCAGATGGCTCCCCTCTATAGGGCCCCCTGTCCCCTTCCCTCTGAGCCCCCCCCACCATGTCCTCCCTTCCCTCTGTGGGCCCCCCACTCACTCCCCCCTCCCCCAGACTTCCCTCTGCCAGGTCCCTCCACAGTCCTCACATCCTCTCCCCTGGGCCTCCCCCTGCTGTGTCCCCCCCTGGACTCTGCTCTCTTATCCCCTCCGCATCCCCTCCCCTGCACACCCTTTTCCTTGGGCTCTCCTCCTCCACATCCCCTCCCTGGGCTGTCCCCACATTCTCTGCCCCAGACACTCCCCCACATCCATAGCCCTCCCATCCCATGTCTCCCCACCACCCCACATCAGGCACGCTGGGGCACAGAAGTGGGGACGTTTGGCTCTTGGCTGTGCCTTTCCCTGCAACCCTTCAGCAAGGTTTGATTAATCCCTGGGGGTTCATCAGTTCATCTTTCTTTCCTTCTGCTGCTCCTCTCCTCCCTTCCCCACTCTCCTTTGCACTGCTCTCCTCCCGCACGTCTCTCCGCTCTCCCCTGAATTCCTCAGCTTTGAATAATTCCCTCTTTGTAGAAAACAACTGGACTTGATGAAAGGGTGCTGCTCAGGAAGGAGGTATCTCCACGCACCTCTAAGATCCCCAAATCCAACCCCAACCCAGCCCACCATGACTGCATCCCTCAGTGCCACATCTCTATACTCCTTGAACACCTCCAGGCAGAGCGACCCCCCCGGCTCCCTGGGCAGCCTGTGTCAGATTTTCCTAACACCTAACATGAGTAAATGGTGCCGTCGGAGCAGCCCTGCTGGGATTGTTTGAGGCAGGAGATGGGAGCAGCTGTGAAGGAGGAGGAAGAGGAGGGAGAGGAAGAAATGAGAGCTCTAAGGTTCAGGTCAGGACGATTGCAGCCGGCAGCGACGCTGTTCTAGGGGTGATTAATGCATCACAAGGTCCACGCATGGAAAAAGTGCTCAGGGCCTGTAGTCACCCCTGTCACTGCTGGGAACTGACGGCAGTCACTTGCCCAGTCTCGCTCTGAGATGTCTCAAGAGCTGGGAGCTTCCTTGGAGAGCTTCAGCATTGCACAACAGGGAGGATTCCCCTGGCAACCCGCCTGGCTACAGCTGCTGATGTTGGCATTCTCAGTCCAAGCCCTCAGCCGCTTTGGTCCCGCATCTGCCCGGGCAGTTCTGCCAGCCCGCAGCAATGGGGAGCCTCGTGGGGGTGAGAGCTGCAGGGCTGGCAGCATCGCAGCATGCAGAGCATCCCCCAGCTCTGCCCACCAGACCGAGCGCTTCCATGCACTTACGGGCACTTTCCAGTTGAGACCATACCTCTACAGCAGCGATGGGTGAAGCCATCAGACAAAGGCTTCAGGGCTCCTTTTGGTGCTTTCCAGCCTGGAGCAGCACACGAGATGCTCTCCAGCCATCAGCATAAGGCAGTGAGCATTGACCGATGTCCCTGCAGCTGGCACAGTGGCTCACATTTGCACAGCTGCTTCTCTAACCAAATATTTGGATATTAGCTCTTTTTTTCTTTTTTCGTTATTAATTTAATGTGGCCTGGGGCAAGAATTAAAATAATCACAGCCCTTCCTGCTTTCTCTCCCCACCACCTCCAGCTCCGGCCGCACTCGTGTTTGGGCTCCAAGAGCATTTGCTGCACACCGGGTTATGCAAACAGCTCTCTGCATACTTCTCAGTGGCTGCGATTTACCATAATGGCCACACAGCAAAGTTTAAAACTAAGCCTCAAATCTCCTTTTTTTTTTTCTTCCCCCTTTTTCTTTATTTTTTAACCCTTTTCGGAGCCGGAGCCCCTTCAGCCCTCAATACCGCCTTTCTCTCGCCATCAATGAGGCATTATGAGCAGGGGAATTATTGAAAGCAGAACTCCCAGGCTGTACAATGGGAGCTCTGTGCAAGGCAAATATTGCACAATCTGTTTGCACGCTGCAGGCTCGCTGCCCTGCCCCCTCAGCAGCCCCACTCCCAGCTCACGCCTCAGCCTCCGGACAGCCAAAACGGGACCTCAGACCGAGAAATAGGCAAGGTTTTAACAAGTCCCCTCTCTCTTCCTTCAGAGCAAGACACATCTGACCCAACAGGGGCAGAGGGGGCCTTGCAAATCACAGCGCCTCGCTCCCGGCTCTCAGATGTTTAAGGGTTTCCGCTCTCCGCAGCCAACGTGTGATGCATTGGCTTTTTTTCTTTATTGGCGTGATGAAAGAGCTGAGGCAAGTCTGGAAAAGGAGCGTGCGGTCCTGAGAAAGAAGTGAGCTTGTTATTTTGTCTAGAGGGGGAAAAGGGATCACAGGGCGGTGTGAGGCTGTGAGGAGCTGAATGCAGGGCTCTCCTGTGAGCTGTTCTGCAAAGGGAAAAGCTCAGAAGCGCTCCGCTGTTGGGAGAGGGGTGTCAACAGAGCTTCTAAACACACCATCCTTTGCTCCCTGGAAGCTGAAATCAAGGGAGGAGAAAACAGCAAATTGACTTTGACTTCTGCTTATGCAACCCTCGTCATTGCCCAAACTGCGAGGATGGTCACAGCAGTGGGGAGCAGTGCTATCGGCTCAGGGAGCAGCCCCTGCAGCACGGCAGCAGTCCCTCTGGCAGGGGCTCAGCAGCACCACTGGATGTTGTTCTCGGAGCCAAATGGCTCTTTCCAATACCCTGCCCATGTTCCTGCCATTTGCTCGGATGAAAATAATCATCATCATCATCAAAACGCACTTAGAGGCCATCACGCAATATTAGAGCCTTCTCTAATGTAAACCATCTCCTCTCACAGCACATGCTGGGCTTGGCCAGGGTTTGTTCCTACTGTTGCTGCTCCCCTTGCTCCTCTCCTGGCTGCCTGGCACCACCCAAACAAGTAAAAAATCCTCAAATAAGAGTCAGTTTGTCTCAGGGTAAGGAATTTTTCTTTTCTGTTCTTAAACCCCATTGATACATCTTAATGACTCTGTGGGTTCTCTTCTGAAATCAGTTAAACATTCCTGCTCACATTTGTTTTCCTCTGGCAGACCCCAACCCATTGGCCTCACTCCCTCACAGCATCCCTCCCTTTTCCCAGCTCTGTGCACTGCTGCTCATCACCTCCTTCCCTCCCCTCTGTAATGACTGGCATGCTCACTTTCAAGAGCTGATGAGCTGGAGAGGAGCCTCTGGGTTTGGCGTGGCTCCTTTTTTCCATGTCTTACAGCAAGCTTTCCACTCTGCTTGGGTGCTCTCCCTCTTCCTCCTGCCCCAGGCATGGGTTTCCAGGCCCCAGATCCAGCCCTGCACAAGCCAGGCTCTCCCTTGTGCCCCATGGTGCTGCTGGAGATGTCCCAACCAATGCAACTTGGAGATGCCATATACCATGGGTTAGGTGTGAGGAATCCCCCTGAACAGGGCAGCTTTGGTTGGGAAGATGGAAGACGCTGAGGACAGATGGTTTGTGCCTTGTCCCATCCATTCTCACAGTTAAAGTTCCTTGGGTGGATATGGCTTTGTCCTTCACCCCACCAGAAGGTCAATTTTCATTTACAATAATAGTAATAAAAATATACTATTTAATAATAAAAATAAAAACAAAACCCAGCAGTTTCTTTGCCTCCAAACCCCTTTGAAGCAGAGAAGGACCCAAAGTGGTGAAAGGAAGGATTTAAGCATTTAACATAATTGCT